TTTATTATTAATCTCTCCCATTTAAAATCTATAACCGAACTGATGAGATTGAATACCCGAGATCTAGTTAATATATCTATCAACTAAAGGTATTACTCATATTACCCGAAGGAACACGCGAGTCAATTAAACTTTAACAAGTATGTACCCGATCTTCGGAACACCTTAGCAGTAAACATTTTATTTCGGGTAACATATCGAGACAGCTATACCCAGCCTAGCACAAGTTTAAAAAATTGAGCACTTAGTGAGAATAAAACTGCATAGAAATAGGTTATCTGTCTTGTTTATTAACAATCAATCTACAAAGGCGCGTACAGAATCTGCTATTGATAGATGTTGAACGACATCAGCATTGCCACATTTATGGAGCGCCTGGTGAGGGTAAAATTCTTAGGTTTTGAAGGAAAATTGTTGACTATTGTCTTAGAGCTTTACATAGAGTATCTACTACAAAAGGGTGACTAATCTTTCCATGTCAAATTATTTGATCTTCAATTCAAGCTACGTAGAAAAACAGGAGAAGAAAAACGAATAAATTGCTCTGTTGTTTAGAAATTAGAGCAAAAGTTTTGCAATGCTAACTTAAATATGCGTGTTTACACAATGTAATTTGTTTTGTCTAGATTGAAGATTATTTTTAGTACTTATCTTTCCTCGCCGATACAATTCTTTCTTCCTTCACAAATACAACTGTTATTGTGTTTTGATTTTTTATCATTACATGGCATTAGGAGAATTTAGTTTTAAATAATATTATTCAAAATAACACCTTTTGATCATATTACGCTTATGGTAATGGTTAAATTGACAGTTTCCTTATAAGGAAACATTTGGCCTTCATTGGCCGAACGTTTACCATTATGTCGGTTAGAATTTATAAAATCTTTCTCTTAAAACAGTTTTTTCAGGAAAATAGAATTCATTGTTGTTTTGGGGTCCACCCCTTTTTCATATAAGTGGACTCGACTAGAGTGTTACTTGGACTGCTGCCGTTAAATACCCAGAGTTAGACAGTCAGGAGGAGAGAGGACAGAGTTTGAGATTGTGACTGAGTTGGAGGTAGAGTAATAGTGTGAGGTAACCGCTTGTAGGAGTCAGTTACAAGCACGCTCAACTACAAGGAAGTCCTACTTCGAGACTGTATATATCTATCTGTATTTGCTACTAACCGCGTTCCTGGATTTACTAACAGTATTACCCTTTGTATTATTGTGTAAATACATTTTATTTCTTATATTTAATTATTGCGTTTGTCATTCATTGGAGACCGAATTTCATCTCGGAATCCACGACAGTTGTTATCTTTCTATCACTTTTTCCTAAGCTTTTGTTCGTGAGAAACGTCAACATCTTGATTATGTCATTATTCACCTGTTTCGTGAATAAGCGTTACAAATTTAATTGTATTAATGAAGCTGGAAGTCTTCAAGTGATGTGGTTTCGGTTATTTGGTAAACGTCTATTTTTATTTTGTAGCATCAGTCTATAAGATCCGCTTAAAGAATGAAACAGCTTTTAGATCAACGTGTATTAAAAGTTATTGTTCTAGGGGAAACCAAGACAAAGCAGCAATCAGCAAAATACACCCGGAATGAGTTCAGGGAAAGAGCATAAAGTTCCGCTGGGATATAGCTCCACAGCACCATCCCTTGCTAAAAATAAAATTCTTAATAATTGGCTGGGAAGTTTCAATTCACCTGTCATATTCATTAGATATTGTAACATTTATTCCGATCTTCAAAAATGTCAATTCCCTGGAAGGTAACTAAAAATGGCAATTCTCTGGAAGGCACCTGAAAGGAGTTCTTTATTCTTAAAAATATAATATGTTACAAGGATGGGTTATATGAAGCTACCTGAAAATGTCAAAAAAGTTTAATAAAATGGGAAATATATTGTTTAATCATAATGATTACCAGAACAACGGTCTTTTCATTACGAGACAAGGAACGTTTGCACAAAGACTTATAACTTGAAGAAGACAGACATACTGTTAAAATATTGTTTAACATTATCAAACAATGTTTTTACTTTTCTCTATCTTTTCTTAAAACGCGCTCTTCTCTTAACTGTCAATAATAATAATAATAATAACTTTACAATACACACAGACAGAATAATAAAAGCCAATCTCCTAGACATCGTGACCAATGACCACAAAAACAGAATGTGCTTTCATATTGACATAGCAGTTCCTGCAGACTGTAATATGTCTTTGAAGATCTTTAAAAATATCAAAAAAGGATCTTGAAGTGGAAATATAAAAATGTAATATATGAGGAAGACTCGGCTTGATTTGGAAAGGTTCCGATAAACTCATTAAAGCAATCCCTGTTAACCTATGTCTTAAAGAAACCCCCAAAAATTGTACTCACAAGTACAGGTCACACCTTACGAAGGGCTTTATCTATGTAAAATATGTGTGGTCTTAGGTTGCATCTTTTTAAAGAAATACTCAGTGAAAATGTTATGATGCCATTTCTGACCTTAGATCTCTTGTGTGGAGCCGGAATGAGATGAGCATGCAGCAGAAATCAAAGGAAATAACAATAAAAATAATAATAATAATTGTTGTGGATTCCGAGATGAAATTCGGTCTCCAATGAATGACAAACGCAAGGATTAAATATAAGAAATTAAATGTATTTACACAATAATACAAAGGTAATACTGTTAGTAAATCCAGGAAAGCGGTTTGTAGCAATAATATATATATATATATATATATATATATATATATATATATATATATATATATATATATATACAGTCTCGAAGTAGGACTTCCTTAGAGTCTACGTGTTTGTAACTTGTGACTTCTACAAGCGGTTACCTCACACTATTACTCTACCTCCAACTCAATCTCAATCGTTCTACTCAGATTGACTGTCTAACTCTGGGTATTTAACGGCAGCAGTCCACTTGTATGAAAAAGGGGTGAACCCCATAACAACAACAACAACAACAACAACAACAACAATAATAATAATAATAGTAGTAGTAGTAGTGAGAAGAACAGGAATAATAAGAATAAATTACCTGATGCATCACCATGCATAGTTCTCGTAGTTACTGACCTAATTTATTGACCGTGCTAACATATACGTATTATTTTTAGTGAATTACATGGATCAAAGTAAATATCCCATTCAGTAATACAGATTTCTTTATCCGACGCCTGACATTAACCAGCAATACTGAGCATATCTGTTAATGTGCGGGAGTAGTGGAGGAGCATCATGCCCGGATGTTGAGAGTTTTGTATCTCTCAAGCCAACGCAACTTCGGAGATACATATAAACATTAAATAAAAGACTCGTTTACCTGACCTAAGGGTGTTCCTAACTGGCACTCACATGCAATACCCTGCACTGCGTTTCTCAAAAACCTTTCACCATATATCACAAAATTTAGCTGTGGCGATTGTGCCTGGGTTCAGTCAGTTACCCGCCATACGTGATACACGCATAGGCGATCATGTATCTTTCGATTTTTTCCCGCTGCAGGTTGCCATTTCTTTCTGCGGTAGACCAGTTGCCATCCAAGGCGCTCTATAGCTGGGAGGAGAAGTAAGTGAATGTAATGAATTCGACTAGAATTCGAACTTGACTCTCCGATTCCTCAGTCTCTATCCATTATTCCACCGTGTCTAGGTTACCCTTATCAAACTGGGTGCCGCGATGGATATTATTGGACTTCACCCCCATTTTTGTTGGTGTACTGTTCTCGCATTGAACAAAAATAAGAATAACATTGTCTTCCTTAATTAATAAACAAACCGAACTAACTTTTTTCCTGTCATCAGTAAACTTTATCAAATACTCTAGTAGTATAGATTAAAGGTCGATAATCAGAAATTAATTTACTATTGAGCGTATATCGGAACGATGTGTGAATTGGTGCATTTTATATGGACATGCGTCTTATACGCCAGCAAACTATTATATTATTAGATATATAGGCATGTTACATGCTAATGATAGAGATCCCAAATGTGTAAAGAAAAATTGCTGAACTGCGATGTAATATCAATCCTCCTATATGGGTGTAAATTCAGGACAATTTTCTTGCAGATGAAGAGTAGACATGTAATAACATATATCTTGTTCTACAGAAGGATGCTGAGAATAAGCGTGTGAGCAACGCTGGATTTTTAAGCAAAAAGATACATACTTAGAATAAGAAAGAAATTTCTGGAACACAAAATGAGGAACGAAGACTTAAATTAACACACGCGCGATATACTGAAGGTAATAGGGACAGAAAGAAGCATCGAGAAAATGACGTAACGAGCCTGCATAATGAATGTAGGAAAAGGACTAGGAAGGAGAATAAGGGGAAAACACATTGCTTTGAGATAATGTAAGGAAGTTGTAGAGAGCTATGATCGCCATGTTCTGAAAGGAGAGGACGAATAAATGAAGAATAGTAACTAATCATTTTGTTTAGTTTAACATGGATTAGTAAAAATCATAAACAAAAAAGGTGACTTGTCCGGTATATTCATAACAAATACTAACAATACAATTTCCATTATGTTTTTATGAGATGTCAAGATGATAAAAATAATAGATTAGTTTACAATTTGATCACAGATAGCAGCCAACACAGACGAGTGATACTAAAAAGGTACAAGCGACAGATTTTCGGAAATTCTTGCAAATAAAATAAACAATCCCATTTATTTCGGTAAATAATTTATTGTTGTCATTATTAAGAACAAATGTATAAAGAAGTCGGTCACAGAACCATACTACCCGTCTAAGATCTAATATCAAAATCAGGCAACAAAAAATGCATGAGATCCATTGTTCAATTTTTACAATAAATAACGAGTCATTAAGTAATTTGGCATGTAGGTCCCAGTGATAGTCTGCTGCCTCTAGTAATATTCAGTCTGAAAGCTTAAGTAATCTCCTTTACATAAAAAAGAACGGAAAATGAATTATCCCCACCAAAAAAAAAGAAAAAGAAAAAGATGATAAAGGAAGAGAAATTTACGAGAAAAGAATGAAGGGAAGAAAGAGAGAAACAACGAAGTTGATAACATAAATAAGAAAGAAAGAAAGAAAGAAAGAAAGAAAGAAAGAAAGAAAGAAAGAAAAGCACGACAGCACGAAGCAAAGTAACAAGGAAATAAAGCAATTCAGAAAGTAACAAATTATAAAAGAACTTATGGAAGCACAAAAGAAAGAAAGAAAGAAAGAAAGAAAGAAAGAAAGAAAGAAAAGCACGACAGTACGAAGCAAAGTAAGAAGGAAATAAAGCAATTCAAAAAGTAACAAGTTATAAAAGAACTTATGGAAGCACAAAATAAAGAAAGAAAGAAAGAAAAGCACGACAACCCGAAGCAAAGTAAGAAACAAATAAAGCAATTCAGAAAGTAACAAGTTATAAAAGAACTTATGGAAGCACAAAAGAAAGAAAAGAAAGAAAGAAAGAAAAAAAACAAAAATCCGAAATCTTAGGAAAGAAATAAAAGAAAGGATTAAAATATGAAAGCAGCGAGCAAAGAAAGAAAAAAAGAAATCACTGAAATAAAAGAATTTATGAAAGGAGTAATCAAAAAAAGAAAGAAAAAAGAAAGAAAGAAAAGAAAGAAAAGAAAGAAAGAAAAAGAAAGAAAGAAAGAAATAAAGAAAGAAAGAAAGAAAAAAGAAAGTATTAAGAAATAAAAGAAAGTATGAAAGCACAAATCAACAAAAGAAAGAAAAAAGAAAGAAAGAAAGCAATGCTAATGTAGGAAAGCACTACTCACGGAAAGAAAGAAAGAAAGAAAGAAAGAAAGAAAGAAAGAAATGAAGAAAGAAAGAAAGAAAGAAAGAAAGAAAGAAAGAATGCTCTCCGTCATAAAAGAAAATTTGAAAGCACTAAGCAAGTAAGAAAGAAAAGAATAAAGACTCCCCTAAAATATACAAGAAAGTATGAAAGCTCTAAGCAAAGAAAGAAAGAAAGAAAGAAAGAAAGAAAGAAAGAAAGAAAGGAGCACTAAAAAATGAAATAACGTATGAAAGCACTAAGCAAAGAAGGAAAGCAATAAATAATAAAAGGATGTATGGAAGTATTCAGCAAAGAAAGAAAGAACGCACTAAGAAATAAAAGAAAATATGAAGGCACTAAACAAAGAAAGAAAGAATTTAAGAAAGGAAGAAAGACTCAGAAATAAAAGAACGTATGAAAGCACTAACAAAAGAAAGTAAGAAATAAAGATTGCATTAAAAATTAAACGAAAATATGAAATCACGAAGCAAATAAAGAAAAGCACCACAATTAAAAGAAAGCGTCAAATCACTAAGCCAAGAAAGAACTCACTAAGAAATAAAAGAACGTAAAAAACACTGTGCAATGAAAGAAAGAACGAAATAGAAAAAAAGAATGTATGGAAACAGTAAGCAAAGAAAGAAAGAAAGAAAGAAAGAAAGAAAGAAAGAAAGAAAGAAAGGAAGGAAGAAAGAAAGAAAGAAAGAAAGCCATGTGAATGTATACAAACACAACACACAGAAAGAAAGAAACAAACAAACAAACAAACAAACAAACAAACAACAAACAAACAAACAATGCACAAAGCAAAGAAATATGGAAAGCATGTACTAAGAAATTGAAGAAAGTATGAATGCACTAAGAGAAGCAAGAAAGAAAGAAAAAAGACAGGAAGAAAGAAAGAAGCACTAAAAAATAAAAGAAAGTACGAAAGCACTAAGCAAAGAAAGAAAGCAATAAATAATAAAAGAATGTATGGAAACATTAAGTTACGAATGATAGAAAGAAAGGACAAAGACATAAAAGAAAGTATGAAAACATTAAGCAAAGAAAGATAGAAAAAAAGGAAGCAAAAAAATAAAAGAATGCATCATCGCATTACGCAAATAAAGAATGAAAGAAAGGAAGCTCTAAGAAATAAAAATAAATATGAAACTCCTAAGTAAAAGCAAAAAGAAAGAAAGAAAGAATTAAGAACTAAGATATAAAAGAAAGTATAAAAGCACTAAGCAAAGAAAGAAGGAAAAATGAACTATGAAGTGAAAGAATGTCAAAAAGTACATAGAAAAAGAAAAAGTAAGAAAGCACTAAGAAATAAAAGAAAGTGTGAAAGCAAAGAAAGAAAGAAAGCATTAAGAAATAAGTGGAAATATGAAAGTGCTAAACAACGAAAGAAATTATGAAAGGCTAAGTAATAATAGAACGTGTGTACGTACTAAGAAAAGAAAGAAGGAAAGAAAGCACTAAAAAATAAAAGAAAGTTTGAAAGCATAAAGAAAGAAAGAAAGAACCGAAAAAATAAGAGAATATGTGAAAGCAGTAGGAAAGAAAGAAAGCACTAAAAAATAAAAGAAAGTTTGAAAGGACTAAGCAAATAAAGAAAGAAAGAAGTAAGAACTGAAAGTATGAAAGCTCTGAGCAACGAATGAAATTTTGAACGCACAAAGAAATAAAAGAACGTATGAAAGCGCTAAGGAAAGAAAGAAAATAACTAAGAAAGAAAATAAGAAAGTACTATAAGAGAAAGAGGGAAAGCGCTAAGCCATGAAAGATAGAAAGAAAGACAGAAAGAAAAATTGTGAGCACTAAGAAATAAAAGAAACTATGAAAGCACTGAACAAAGAAAGATAGTAAGAAAGAAAGCACTAGAAAATAAAAGAATGTGTCAAAGCACTGCGCAAATAAAGAAAGAAAAGATGGAAGCTCTAAGAAGTAAAAGTAAATGTGAAAGCTCTAAGCAAAGAAAAAAAGAAAAATTCACTAATAAATCAAAGAACGTCGGAAAGCACAAAGCAAAGAAAGAAAAAAAGGAAAGAATGAAAGAGAGTTGACACTAAGAAATAAAAGAACGTAATAAAGTATTAAGCAAAGAAAGAAAGAAAGAAAGAAAGAAAAAGAAAGAAAATATGAAAGCACTAAGGAGAGAAAGAAAGAAAGAAAGCAAGAAGAAATAAAAGAAAGAAAGAAAGAAAGAAGAAAGCAGGAAGAAATAAAAGAAAGAAAGCAAGAAAGTTAAAAAGAAGAAAGCAATAAAAAAATACAAATAAAGAAAGGATATAAAAAACCGGATATAAGAGAGGTCCCCAAATTAGACCTGTTAATGTATATAAAATAGACCAAACCCGGATATAAGAAAACCCGGATATAAAAAAATGGTCCCAAATTAGAGCCTGTGTTAATGGATATAAATAGACCCGGATATAAGAGAAACCCGGATATAAGAGATTTTTTCTGGTCCCAAATTAGAGCCTGTGTTAATGTATATAAAATAGACCAAACCCGGATATAAGAGAAACCCGGATATAAGAGAGATTTTCTCTGGTCCCAAATTAGAGCCTGTGTTAATGTATAAAAATAAATATAAGAAAACCCGGACATAAGACCCTGTGTTAATGTATAAAAAATAGACCCAACCCGGATATAAGAGAAACCCGGACATAAGAGATTTTCTCTGGTCCCAAATTAGAGCCTGTGTTAATGTATATAAAATAGACCAAACCCGGATATAAGAGAAACCCGGACATAAGAGAGATTTTCTCTGGTCCCAAATTAGAACCTGTGTTAATGTATATAAAATAGACCAAACCCGGATATAAGAGAAACCCGGACATAAGAGATATTTTCTCTGGTCCCAAATTAGAGCCTGTGTTAATGTATATAAAATAGACCAAACCCGGATATAAGAGAAACCCGGATATAAGAGACTTCTTCTCCGGTCCCGACAACTCTCTTATATCCGGGTTACACTGTATATGAAAGAACTGATCAAAGAATGAATGAACAAGGAAAGAATTGATTGCTCCTTGGGAAGAGAATATATTAAATAAATGCGCCTTATAACAAATACATGAAAGATACAAGCTCGATGAGAAAGAGAAAAGGGTCTTTCGGGGCCAAGTAAGCACTGAGAGTAAAAAAAAAAAAAGGGAAAAGCGATAATGGCAATAGAGAAAAGAAAAAAAATAAGCAATCACTGTGCAAAAAGATAAAGATGCTATTCATATTAACCAATATATCCCCTCCGTAAAGTCTATCCAACGTTTACCAATAAATAAAATTAAAAATAACCATCGGGTATTAATAATAGGTTTTTAAAAATATTCACTATTAATTACTGATTTATAAAAAAAAAAAAAAATTATATTAATTATACTTTTCCGTTAATGCTCACCGTCACATTTTAATAAGTTAAATTTCGTTGGAGGAAATAGATGTATAGCAAGAAAGAGACAGAACTGACCGAAAATGGAATAATTTTGCCACATTTGGGTGGAAGCTTCCCGTTCCTCACTTTCCAAGTTTGATAGAGTTCAAAAACGTCTCCGAGTCCTTGTTGGAGAAGAATTATTTTCCACCCAACCCCCAACCTCTCTCTCACAGGCTGCATGTGGCGAGCCTCTTACTGCTCTATCGCTGTTATCATGGAAAGTGCTCAGACGAATAAGATATATATAAAAAAAATTATCAAAGGGACTTGTATAGAGTGAGCCGTACTGTAAAAAAAATGAGAAAGAAAAAGAAACGAAAAGAAAAAATATTGTTATATGAAGTGTTGAATGTAACAAGGCTCATTACGGATCAGAGCGAAGAAGGAAAAGGAAAAGCAAATAGTTAAATGGAAAGAAAGACAAAAAAGACAATCAGTTTTTAGTGCTTTTATCCAAGCGAAAAGGAAGAGAAAGAAACCGCGGTTCGTTAATAACAATGAGAATAATAAAACTTACGATAATTGAGTTCTCTTGAATTCATACTACTGTTCTTATATACCGACATTAACTCTTTCCTTTTTCTTTTTAATCATTTCATCCCAAACAAGGCAATAAAGCCACTAGGATGCAATGGGTCTAATGAGTGTTAGAGAATGTCATAAAACCCACTATTAAGGAGAGAGAACAATAAAAGAACAAGGCGGAAGATAACTATTGAATTTAAATATTTGATATTCAAAGTTGACTGAAAAGCAAGAAGCCGAAAAAGAGTTCCACAAGCAAGAAGTGCGACAGAAGAATCTTTTAGCATAGAACCTCCGGTTGTATCTTGCCTTTTCGGCTGTAAATTGATGAATCTACTACTGCAGTTAAATTCATAAAGCCTGGCTACAATAGCGGAAAATAATATTCATTTTGAATAATTTAAAAATGTGGCACAAGGCCAAAATGGGGGATAGGCTAAGGTTGGTCTTCAATCTGTCTTATCTTAAACTTGGCTAGCCACGATTACTAACCCAAACATACCACAGTAACATATACACTAAAACAACACATTCTTACTTACAATTCTTACTACAGTCACCATAATACCTCAAAGTCTATGTAGTCCTAGTTAGTTTCCATATGTGCAATTTGTCTGTGGTGGGTGGGGAATAGCGGCAAGTTCGTCAGAACAATTACCATGAAAGTATTTATAGAAAAGGCACAATGAAGCTACGTTACGGTGGCAAGAAAGTGACATTGTGTAGTAAAATCATGGAATAAGCACATCTCGTTTTTTTTCTTAAAGCTGTCTGCCTTTAGTTATACAGATTTTGCGACATTAAAGTGGAAACTGAATTAAAAAGAAAACTGATTTATAAACGTCAACACACGCATGTCACTTTTCGACTAAGTGCTGTTTCGTTCGAACAGCGGCGAAAACAGAGCGGGGTTCCCATAGTTCGATCAATGATGACCCGAGAACAGTTATTATCACTATAGAGTGATAAACAGCATATGGAAGAATCATCATCATCTTTACAGGCGATAAAAAGACCGAGAGAAGGAGACTAGTTACCGCCAGAAGAAACATCAACATTCCAGAAGACATGACACCGATATCTACACAGAATAAAATAACCGTTTTCTTTTTTCAGGTCATCATTAGTTGACAAATAAAAACAAGCCTATCCTTGTGATGTAACTCCATTGACGCCGATATAGTATCCGTTTGAGCATTATCATGGCTGTTTTGGAGCCAGGATTTTGTATAGGAGCAATACACATATTGGACACCTGCCGTCGAGATTTTGTCTCTCATAAACATTCACTTCCGTTATTTATGAAGAAAGACAAGACCATAACCTATCTACCTTGCAGGAAAAGAAAACAAGCGAGGGGAAACTGTTGTAGCCATGTTCTCCAATTATATGACATAAGAGAAATTTTCATTATAGCTTCACAACCAGCCGAAGCACAAAAGAGGTCAGTTATTTCATTTTTCTCTCCTTCTTGCCTGGTATTATTTTTTTAGTCCCAGCATGGGCGACAAATCATTGGATCAGTCTCAACAAATTCTGGTTCATCCAAACGACTTAAACATCCTATCGACGACGCCATATTGTTGTGTTGTGTTGTTTGACGACACATGATCAGTAGTCAACATTTTGCCTATCTCTTAGTTTACTATAGACTTTATATCTCTTCTACTAAACATATGCAAATAGGTACAATCCTATTTGACAATCCGCTACGCTGGCTTTATTACACGAGGTTTGTTGGGTTTTTTTTTATCTTTTGTATATTTGCTAGATTATTTAATGTCGAATATTGCTGAGGGGGCCAGATGATTAAACTCACTACTAATGATCAACCAGAGTAAACTCGTTAACCATTACCCCCGTCGAGCTCATACATTCTTTCTGCTTTATAAGAACATTCCCAGACCCTTAGGAAATATTTAAGCAAACGCTACCTCGTCAAATCACCGACATAGTCCCAGTCGGGCGCACCTGAGGACAGTGATAGAAAGCGTGAACAGCTGTTTCTACTAAACCAAGCTCACGCTGACGACAGTTGAGGATATCTGCCCAGCCTGCTCTGAAAGCCACATCATTGAGAGATGAACAAGTGGTCAAGAGTCGACTTCTCGCTTGTCTCTTAGTTTACAATATACTTTATATCTCTTCTACTTAACATATGCAAATAGGTATCCTATTTACCAATCCACTTCATCTCTGAACAGATGAAGTTTAATACCTTTTGATTGTTCTCAACCTCTAGCCCTTGATGTTTATGCCCTGTTCTTTTAATGGAGATCTTGGTCTCATTTTATCTTCTTCCGTGTTTGAGTCATTCCCGCTATCATGCATAGGCACAGCTTTGATTGCATTGTTCTGATCTGAAGAACTCATTCTTTCTCCTCTGCCAGTTTCCTGCTTATACAGTGTTTGCATTCCTTTTTTATACTGTAAGTTTCAAAATTTTCCTCAGTAGAATTATATTTTTAATCAATTTCAGCTGTTATATAACTTCCGCACATGTAGGCAGAGACAAATTATTCAATTGTTATTGATCCAATATTAAAATAATATTTATAAATTGTATTAACCATACCTTAAATCAACTGTAGCTGAATTAATTCATCCTCAATAGTCAAATCTTGTGTTCTAAGTTTCACAATTTCGCAGAATCTTCGAGATTCTTTTAATCTGTGAAGATATTGCATAATTGATCCATTTTGCTTCCGTTTAATGGACAGGAATTTGTTTTATTTGTCCTCTCTGACAAGTTTCTTTTTAGGTCGTAAACTTCTTTTTATAATTTCTGAAATTTCGATGAAATTCAAGTTCTCCAATTATTTGAGCTATGCCATAACAAAAAATTTCATTATAGCTTCACAACTAGCCCAAGCCCGAAAGAGATCAGTTATTTCATTTTTTCCCGCTCTTGGTTGTCTTTCAAATTTATTTTTAGTCCTAGCCGGGGCTGCAAAGCACCAAATTCAAGTTTCGACAAATTCTGGTTCATCCAAGCGACTTAAACATCCTATCGGCGACGCCATAAAAACATTTTTAGAGAAGAGAAGAAAGTAAGCGAACTTTAGAAAGCAGAAGGAAAAAAGAAAGAGGGGAGATTCCGCTTATCGCCTCAGTCGGACAGAGAAAAAAAGGAAAGAGAATAAATGAAAGATGAATTAGTATTGAATTTGTTCCCACAGGCAAGAGAGAAAGAAATAATAGAATAAAAAGAGAAAGTTTGAGCAATAAAAACAAAGCAATGAAACAAAAAACGAATTCTTTAAAGATAGAAAAACAAACAAAGCGAAGAGAAAGCAAAAAAGAAAACAAAAGGAAAGAGAAAAGAAAGAAAAATAAAAAGTATCGTTAACTAATTGGACCCATTTGGTCTATTATAAACGCAGGAATGAAAACGGTCTAAGTAGAACGACAAACCTTCATAGTGTGTTCAGATTCATTCCTCAGCAGTGAAATGCTGAAGGTCTATTTCAATATTGGTGTTTTAAATCCCGAGGGGATATTTTAAAACTTTCTCGACCCGAACTTCTTATAACGAAGTCTAAGAAATATTTTTGGAAGAGTTTCTTCATAGGGCCGATATATTCTTTTAGCACGCCTTTCAAGAAATTTAAAAGTAAATATAAAAATACAGGTTCAATTTCAAAAATAATTGTCTCGATAATTATTTTGTTTCTGTTTCTTTTTCCATCTTCGAAGTGGTTTTGTGTTGCAAAATGTGGAGGGGAGGGGGTTCAACCGTTATTATCAACATCATCACCATGAGAGAAAGACTCTTCGATAATCATCATCATCGTCATAAACGGTCAAACGGGCAGGATGAGAAATGCCACCGACCTGAGAGCGTTTTTTATTCATAAAAAAAAATAAGTGAAATGACAAGAAGTTTCCAGTGACATACAATGATCCCAACGATCATCCGACTAAACAGAACCCATTCTTTCCGCACTCGCTATTGTAGGGAAAATACCAACAAGTCAAACCAGTCCACTCCTACAATGTAGGAAAACTCATGAGGTATCATAAATCTTTTTTGTCGTTTTTGGATGACAAATCCAACGTTTGCAGCTAGTCGGTAAAAAGGTTGAATAGCCGGTAAAAGGTCAACAAAGAAACCGAAATCGTGAAATTCCCCGAGCAAAGTCTTTTACTTTTTAAATTGGCAAAAGTGAGTAGCAAATATAAGCAGTGAAGAAATATGAGTTATTTACAGACGTTTCCAGTGTTTTTTCTGCCTATATATAAAATTTGGTGACTTCCGTTAGTCCGTCCGTCACATCATCTAAAATAGCCATACATTGACCGATCGAAACCAAATTTGGTGGGGAAGTGCAAACAAGGATGTACAAAGTACAGTTGATTTTATTAGGGTTTGTAACTTAGTACAATAAATGTTCATTAATTTTTGGAAAAATTTAAAATATATATCTCACTATTTCAAAAACTATCTATCTATCTATCTATCTATCTATCTATCTATCTATCTATCTATCTATCTATAAAAGTGATCATAGAATTCAACACTTAGAGGCGACAGTCTGTTGCAAGATGCAATTTTCAGGCCTGAAACAGACTGCCGCCTCTAAGTGTTGACTTCTATGTTCACTTTTATATTTACACACGCTCTATCTCTGATATTGAGCACATTATCCCATAAATATAGCACATCTTAAGACTATATTTCTTCATATATATATATATATATATATATATATATATGTGTGTGTGTGTGTGTGTGCAGGGGTGTGTAATTTCTATATATATTATTTATATATTATATATGCGCGTTACTTATTAGAAAGCGCTCAATATCAGTGCTAGAGCTAACATAGTTGTCTTGATGTAAGTTTGTGACCATGCAATCGTCAGACTAACTGACTTATTTTACCAAATAAATCAGTTTGTCTGACGATCACAAGGGCGTGAAACCCATGGTCACAAACTCACATCACTACAACTAAGATATATATGTATATATATATATATATATATATATGTGTGTGTGTGTGTGTGTGTGTGTGTGTTTTGAACAATAAAAATGTTAAAAAATTAAAATCTTCTGATACACTGGCTTGTATATTAATATTCTTTCGTTTTTATTATTTCAGTTAGATTCCTCGACTAGTTTCGGCCAGCATGGCCATCATCAGGCGAAAAAAAATTTCTGCTTATTAGTAGCAGTGAACTACAGCAATGAACTTTTATCTGTATTTTTTATTTGTTTTGTTTTTTTTAACATGAATTTTGGTCAATCCTTGTGGCCAAACAGTCTCTTTTAAATTGCTATTTAAGATAAGAGCTGGATGGATTCATGCTGCTCTGTATTCCTTTGGTCATTTTGACAGTTTTATTAGTTCCTGGAAAGAGGATGTGTCGCTGTTAAGTGTGTGTGTGTGTGTGAGAGAGAGTTACTTGGTTCTTAGGGAGTGAGTGAGTATGATGTGTGTAAGTGTATATATTAGAATGAGTGTGTGTGTATATGTGTGTGAGGATTCAACACCTCCGCAAGCATGTCTGTGTGGGTGAGAAATGTGGGTAGGGCCTGATTTGTGGGGTTATATATTATTCTATCTATTTTGTTAAATTCGTGATTAAGCCCGTCTGGATGGAGCGTTTTTAGGCGCAAAATCTACTTATTTCATGCTTTCTAAAATCATTCTAATGTCTGAACTTTTCTATTTTCTGGTATGGTCTTTAAAATCGTGTTTTTGTAGGCGGAAATGTTGTTCTACAGGTAATAATCTCTTATGGGGCGCCTTAATTCGAATGCGATAATTATTAATTCTGTCGTGAAAGGGCCATTCAGATTTTACATATTGTTTCTGGCATAGTGTGCATTCTAGGAGGTAAATTATGTTATGACTTCTACAGTTTAGTCGTGGTAGATTTTGAAAGTAGATTCAGGGATTGAGTTAATGTATGAATTGGTGTGTCTAATGTGGTTACAGCATAAGCTCCTTTTATTGTGACATGGTTTGAAAAATCCCGTTGTTTTGTTTCTGGTTTATTACGGATGTGGTTACTACCTATAATTTCCTTTGAGTTCTTAGGCTTACGATATGCTAGAAGGCCG